TATTTGCACGGTCAAGCAGGGGGCAGTCCTACGATGACTCAAACAGCAAAAATAAAAATACATTTTTCTACTAAATTCTTAAAAAATAAAATAAATAGTGCATGAGAGTACATCCGTTTGTATGTTAGCTTGCTAGTGACCTGGCTGCTTCCTGGTTAAAACGTTAGCAATAGCCAGATGGGACTGTACTATTTGTATTCTGGGATTTGAGGCAGTGGTCATTATTCCACATTCTACAGCACCTTTCCTCATTGGGGTCATGAGTGAGCCAGAGCCTATCCTAGCTGACTAGGCTAGTGGAGTAGAATTTTCACCAGCCAATCAAAAGTCATATCAACAAACACATTAACAATTTTGGACAATTCATGTCTTCGATGAACCCAACGTGCATGTTTATTGGACGGATGTGTGGGGAAGCTGGAGTGCCCGGCGAAACTCATGAAAACTCCACACAGGAAGGTCAGAGTCAAGAGTCCAACCCTGACCCTCAGAACGGTGGGGTAGACGGGCTACTGCTAAATCCACAATACAACCGGGAATGATTCAGTGGTGTTTCAAAAAGTAGGAAATACAATTCTCAATCTGGATCTGCAAAGAAACTGCCCAACAAATGGCAAACAATACCGCTCAGGTTACAAGGAATGAATCTTGCAGAAAAGTGATACGACAGGCGCAGCTCTCCGGCGTGCCGTAAACGGAATCACCCACTTCAAACGTGCATAAATGAGGCAGTTGTTGAACCAACACAGCAGACTTTACGACACCCTGGTGGACAACGTGCACATAACGCAACACTGCCTTATTAGTAATAATATACCCGTAATGTAAATACAAGTGGTGAAGTGGTGTGAGTCATCGTGAAGATGGAGGACGCAGACTCTGGAGTGTCATCAGGGCAGACAGTGACCCCCCCCCCCCCACAACATTCCATCCCTTTATGTTTTCCCAGGCTCCAAGCTTGGGGATGCTGCAAGCTGGGGGTTGTGACTGCTGCATTGGAGAGCTGTTGATGACTTGCAGAGCAAAGCCCTCATGTGCACGCTCATGTTTTATCACTGTCCTTCGAAGCGTTTCCTCCCATTAGATATTCAAGGTCACTTGTGTTTCTGTGACACTGGAGAGTTGCGAGCTTGAGAAAGCTTACACATGGAATAACTGACTAGTGGAGAGGGTGAGACTGTATATATATCGGAGGTGCTCAATAGGTGTATCGCGGTCCAAACAAACCTATTACTACAGTGTGTGTGTATATATATATATATATATATATAATTGCAATTTATTCATTCCAGCACCCACAAAGCAGATTGAAAGATTTTTTGTAACATGTTTTTAAATACAAAAAATAGCCCTATGTATTATAGAATTTATTGTATCAGAATATAAGGTAATAACAGAGTTTTGCTTTAATTCAACGGACACTGTGTTGTGCTTTCTTGTTTGAGCACCTTGGCTGCCATGGGGCAGTGTAATATGTACATACTTATTAGGGCTGGGCTCTTCATCAAAATTGTGATTTCAAGTTTAGCTTCTCACCGTCATAAGAACACGATAATTGAAGAAAAACTGCGTACACCTTGAAAGCTCTGCTTTGTTGCTTGTTGCAAGTATGTGAAGTACAGTATGTCCATTTGCCAGTGGCGGGCCGTGCATTTCAACCTTAGGCCTTCAGTGACGTCACATATTATGAACACAATACTGTATAGGCTCGTCAAGCAGCACTTAATTTCAGGAGCATCACCAAGTATGCATTCACAATTAAGAGCAGGAAACTACATTTACAGGTAGTCAAAAATAAAAAGATGATTTAAAAATACGAAATAAAATGCCACCCAAATTACGCTGTGTGATCTTAAAACAAGTCTGTCCAATAAATTGCGCAACGTCGCAGTTTCATATAAGACACCAACCAAACAATAACAAAACAAACTGTTCTTTGAAAATAAAGTAAACAGATCATTTGCATTTTGAAAATCGACGATACAACAGCAAATAACTGACATAACTGACTAACTAATAACTGACTAACAGCTGAGATTGAACGAACTTTCGTGCACGAAGGTGACTACAATGCGCCATTTTAAATTGCAGGTGAGCAGATTTATTTGATACATGTTTGTATCTTTGTCATTTTATTTCGTTACCATGAATTTAATACTAACGAAATAAAATGACAAGAAGAAATGTAAAATAAAATTCATTGACTCACCAATGTAGTTCTCACAGCGTCTGCTTGTTTGAAAATAAAGTCGATCCTCCTTTCTTATCTCAGGAACACTTCAGTGGCTCTTTCAGGTCCATTAGCAAGTCCTTTTC